CTCACCACTGTTGTCTTAAATGTTTGAGGGAAGAAGAGAAAGAAAAAAATAAGTGGATTGTTTGGAGCAGATGTTAACACAGTTATTTGATCGTAAAACGGGCCATATAAACTCAGGGAGATGAAAGACCGTAACCTTTCTCCAAGTTGAACAAATTCCTTTGTTATTTTTCATTGTTTCAGGGAAGTTGGATTGTCTAAGTAGATGGATATTTCATTTGCCTTGGTAATCCATCAAAACATACTTGACATTGCGGTTGCTTTTCTTTTTCAGTATCACCATTTTCTCCAGAGAGGAGAGTTAGTTCTGTCCTTAGATTGTTCTGGATCATTCCATTAGCTGACTACTGCAACTGTCAACAAAATTTCTGTCTTAAGATGTTTTCTTCGCTTTAGTCTATAAATGTAATTGAGGGCATCTCTGAAGTGTCGCTGCCATGTCTTGTGTGATGTGTACGGTATGTCAGATTACACTTCGCAATATGATCTGGCAATTGTCAGAAAACCTGATTGTGTGCTTAGTGTGACATTAGTTCGTTCAGATCAATTACTACTGCTGCCAATACCTGTTTCTAAGTAGTGCGTACTTATCTGTAGAAGACAACCACTTTATAGAGAAGGGTTAATACTCTTATCCCTGGTTTAAGATGGGGAACGTTAGTGTAGAGACATTCCTTGCCCATAGTCACTCACAGAATCAGTGGTAGAGCCAGGGTTAGAATCTGCATCTTTGTTAAGCAATTATTTACTGATGGGTTCTTAAAAGTAGTATGGTATTGGGAGGAGAGACTATGTTTTGGGTTAAATACAACTAATATTTTCTTTTTAATATGAACATTGCATAACCTATGGAAAAACTTTGTCTCGATATGTGGAGTTGTCTCTACCCAGATTTTTATTATCCCTACTAAAGAAAATAGATTGCTTTCTGCCATTGTCTGTTTAGCCAGCTGTAAGCCCTATTGGACAGATTGCATGGTATGCTGATTAATGATATAGGCCGTGGGTGATTAGCCAAGTGTGTAACGAGGTCCATAGCTTCCAGTGTATTATAGAAATGCCATGGATCAATATAACCACACAGTCCGTAGTGTCTTCTGCAATGTAAATTCAGACTAGTGGAGAAAAGTGGTGTAGCTCCTGAAGAGCTGCTGCAGCACTACCCAGTTGTGCTTATTTTGAGAGGAGGCTTAAATTTAGTCTGAGGATTTGAAGGTTTGGTGGGGCTTTTTTCGTTGATATCTTTCTTACTGTCATTATGGGCAATTCCCTACCCCCATTTTTTTGCAGGATAAATCCAAAAGACTTAATATGCATGTGATAAATTTGGGAGATTGGATTTCTACATGTGCTTTAAAGTGTTTCTTTTGTATCCCAGCATTCAAGGGCAGGAGGCAGAATAGCTTGATGAATTCTGACAAACAGCATGCTGTTTTATAAAATGTTAGTAGATCAAGCCATCAAATGTCAAAGACTATATGCTACTTTGGTAGCTGAATATAATTTTTTTAATATAAAATCAGCACTGGTTAAATACTTTCCTTTTTAGAGAATGCTGAAAATATGTAATATGTTTATGACTTTCTTTTCACATTTGTAATGCAGTAATTCTGCTATAGGAATGGGGTTTTTTTTCATACTGTGTCCTAAACTGTCATCAGCATCACTGCTTCGAGGCTATATAAATTCAGATTGTAGAGCAGAGTTGGTTCGTAATTTTTTTTTCTTATGAGTGAGTTTTTTCTAGAGCAATAACATGAGGTAATTCATTTGCTTATTATTACTTCTCTATTAAAATTTTTGTAAATATCTCTTTCTAATTTATAGGTAGTAGCTCTATTCCAAATTTCTTTCGCATCATGAAGCGACAGTTTACTGAAACAGAGTGGGGTGTAATCAAGTCTATGAGTAATGAATGGATGCAGCTGGATATGTTTCATCGGCACTGGGTAATACTTTTTTTTTCTATTTAAAGACTGCAATGCTATAATCTGCACATTCTATTTTGATATTTTTTTTTATTATTTTCATTATGGTAAAATTGTATACTTTTTATAGTTACATGTTCGTGTGGAGATAATATTTTAATGGGTTTTATATTTTTGTGATTTTTTTTTAATGTCAGAATAACTTTGAGAAACATAGTACAGCTGACATTTCTAGAAGGATTTATGACTCGTTTTAAACATGTACCCAGAACAAGGTAAAGGGTTCATATCTCTATGTGCTGCTTGATAATTCTAGCTGCATGTTCATTATAATGCAGCAAGTTAGGCTAGGTATTAATAACGCTGATAACTTTTTCTCTTGATAATTGCATCAGTCTCCCCTCACATTTACAGTAGTATAATTTATTTGGTCTACAGTGTCTGCTCGGAAATAATGTTTACAGAGCAGTTTGAAAACAGCCAGTGTGAATAAAATACATTTATTCTGTTTCAGGCCTTAAAGGAAAGCTTCTTAAAGGCTGTTGGAGTCGGAATTGGCTTTAACTTGCAAAGAATTGAATTTAATGTGTCCCCATTGCAATTGGAAATAGGGAAGGTGTATAAGGAGACAAAAATGCTTCTGGACGGAGATAAAGAAGAAGAGTGGATGTTTGAGGTAAGAAATATTCAAATTTATTTTTTCAATAGTGATAAACAGTCTCAACACCCTACGGTTGCATTGCACATTTGATTTTTTTTTTTAATTGCAGCTTCACACCTTTATTCTGTATAACCACATTGAACATATATCAATCAAAACTTAGGATATAAATCCGCAGCATTTTGAAGTATTTTTGATGATTGCAAAAACACCCCAGAGATACATTCATTATAATGGCTTTTTATTTTTTCTGTTCCTGGAGTGTATTTCTTGCACTCTATGAAATTCAGCCTAGCGCATGCAGGAAGTTCACTGAAGCATATCCAGAGCTGACTTCTGAACAGTGTCTAAGATTTTAAAGTTCTTCATCAGTTGATCTACAATGGGACTAGTGATTAACTGACCCCATTAGTTAGTGTTTGTGTTAAATATTTGAAACGGAGGAGGTGTCTTCAGCTCCTTTGGGTTTCTTACTTCTTGTCCATACAAGTTGGTAGAAACATGCTTTTGTGGGTTTGGAGTTAGTGTGCTGATTGGCGGCTCTCTGTGGGAATGGAGAGATGCGAAAACCTTGCTTTTACTTAATTGGAACATTAGTTTGGGCTCAGTCTTCTATCTGAGTGTTGGGTTTGGGGTTTTTGTTTGTTTTCCCTTCTTGAAAGTTACTGAGACTTATCACTAAAACATCTCTCCTGTTAGATTTGGTAGAAAACAATCAATATCATCTAATGTAATTTAAAGGGTGTAGAGAGAGAGAACTGATAGGGACATGGTTTAGTGGTGGACTTGACAGTGTTAGGTTTACGGTTGGACTTGATGATCTTAAGAGTCTTTTCCAACCTAAATGATTCTATGATTCTATACAATGATCCCAAATTATTTAATTACCCTAAGAAACCAAGCTTTAAAAAAAGTTAAACAAATGACAGTACCATTTGTTTACACCCCAGAAGCACTTTCATTCAGCCACTTAAAACAAAAGAAGAAATGCAAAAGACATTGTGACTTTAAAATTGTCTGTAAAGGGCACCTTGTTCCAGTCTGCTGTAAGTTTGTGCAGCTGGTATATAGCTGACTAGCAATTCAATGAATACATACTTTGCAATTTCACAAAATAGTCAAGTGCACTTTTCAGTAAGCGTACTCAGTTTCCAATACGTGTTTGCATTTTGAAAATATTTACATTGTTGGAGACTACTGTTTCAGTAGAGCTTGTCTAAATGACAAATTTCTGCTGTATGCTTGTTTTGTGTAGTATACAAACTACATGTATGGTACGCATGTAGTAAAAAAGAATGAATGTACCAGTAACATTTAACTTGTAGCGTAAATTGACCTCTTCACAGTTCATTCCTTGCAGCATTTCTAGCCACATTTGGTTTTGTGTTATTTTAAAACCTGTACTAAATCAACCCTCTTACTGGTATTGCCATACTCTCTAGGAATTGAGTATGTCATGAAATTCACTAGTTAGAATTATAGACTGGCAAAAGAAAGTCTTAGGAAAGACTGTGACACATCTTGTAATAGAATGCTTTCTGTATTAATGCTAACAGTGTACCATTGTCAAGGAAGCATCTACCTCTTTTGACTGACTTCTGGAACTCCTAATTTTGATGATATGCCTGTGGTTGATTGACTAAAATAACCTGAAGATGATGATGGAGGTAGCTCCCTGTATTACTTAAATGCTTTATAAGTATTGGATTTTTCGTTATTACTTAGTAATTACTGCTAGAAGCTTAGTTTAATTTTTGTCTGAGGAATGTCTCCTGTTCTATGCTTGCCCTGCTGCTTCCCAAGAGCGCAGCCTTATAACGAGGCAGATTGTAGTATTTCAAAGAAAGGATTTATTATCAAGTTTCACTTAAATACAAGCTCAATTGGGATATAATTTTATTTAAATATCAACATTTATTAAAATGAAATAAAAAAAAAAATTAGTTTTTCAGTTACCAATCCCCAGCCTAAAATTAAGCATCGCTTTACTTTTTTGTCTTTTCCCAAATTTCTTTCAATTTTGTGCCCATTTTCTTACTTACAAAAGTCTTTTTTTGTTTCATTATTTGCACTTGAGCCAAATTCTTGAAACAACTTGTTAACTGAAAACACTAATTTTGAGATATTTGGAAGAGTCACCCAAGAGAAGTCATTAAGAATCACCTGTACAACTGCATGTTACTGGTATAGTATTTTCATTGTGTTCCCTGTTGCGCTGAGTTTGCTTGAGTGAACTTTTTCTATCAAATAAAAAATAGAATTACCTCACTCACTTTTCAGATCTGCCTATATCTTTATGGTAGGAGATGATCGAAGAGAGCAAGGCTGTTTAAAATCCAATTATCACATATTTTGGATTGTCTTATTTCAGTTTTAAAGAGAATCTAGTTTACCAAAAGCAGAAGAGAGAAATAAAGGGGATTTTACCCATTTAAATTACACAAAATATTCTGAAATTTCCTTCAGAAAGTACCACGTATTGTGAAAAAAGCAACCTAAAAGCATGAAGACTAGAAAAAGATCTACCACCTTATACTTGTCATGACTGAAAGGTCAAGATAAGTAGTAGTGAATCAGAGTAAATCAAAATTGACGCTGTTCAGACACCCTGTAACTTCACAACAAGAGCAAAGCCTGTTCATACTGGAGATAGAATTTTCTGTGAACATTAAAAAAAAAATACTAAATTCTGTTATTTCATTGTAAACACCAAATGAATGACTTTGTTGTGTAGTTGACTGTTTGCAGTCCCTTTACGAAGGGTTTAGTTTTGTTCTAAGTGTCTTTCCCCTCCTCCACTCCTCATATATTTTTGAGCTTGGATAGAAGGCAGTAGCTCAGAAACAGCCTCTTGTTTGATCTTGATCGATCGGTTTAGCTTTAGGCACTTTTTTTTCATATAGTACTCTAGAGATTGCTACTCAGATTCCCTCCAACTGTTTTGGAAGGAGTAGGAGAAAAAATACAGTAAAACTTCATTTAAAAACATAAATTTAGTTTTAAGATGTGTCTGATATGTGTGTTAAATATGCTTTGTTCACATAGGCAGTGCACGCTGTCCTCATTTTAAAAAGGTGAATTTGGTTAGTAATAATTAAAATTTACTAGCCCAGTGAAGAGTGATACAGTATTTGTGTCAGGCTGTTAATTTAGGATGCAGTCATTATTATGATAATGATTATTATTATTATTATTACGAGTACTTCCATACGCTCCATTTACTTCCTTTGAAGAATAAAAACTTACAGAATGAAGTACTAGTTAATTTTAATAAAAGTGAAAGAAGTTGATTGATAACAATTATGACAATTTTTATAATTTAAAGAGATAAACATAAGTTTATAATATATATATATCTGTAGCAGATCTGATATGTGGAAACAAAATCCTAATTACTGATTTGAAAAATGTTAAGTGTATTCATGACTCTTTCCTTATTGGTCCCAGTTTTGTACAGTTAATCAGGAAGAATGGCTAGACAACACTTATTGGAATCTATATTAAAGAAGAATCTTAAATGAGACATAAGACAGTTCTGTTCTGGTCCCTACCTCAATTTTGGATACAACCAGTTTATAAAGGAAGCACCCAATTTATCCTAAACCTCACTCGGGGATATAGGAATCACCTGGCATCACTGCTGCTACACAAATAATTGTTTGCTTTTTTTCACAAAAAATGTTTGCTTGGTTTGTCTATATGCAAATACATTACTTCCAGAATATGAATTTCAAACTGAGATTACCTGGGTCAATTTGAAACATATTTAGTGATTGTTGTTGGTATGCAACTGTAATGGAGTCTTTCACCCTCAGTAAGAGAAGTTAATCTTGTAGTATTGTAAGGAATAAATAGGAATGGAAACTTTTACTTCTAAGACTAGCTAATCCAACTGGATTCACACAGCAATTAGTTCTGCTTGCTGGGAAGGTAGCAGTTTCCTCATAAGCTGTCTGTTGTTGAGTGAATCCAGAATGATTTGAATCCCAGACACATCATTCTGCCGAACATTTGAAATGAGGTCATTATAAGTGTCTGTGTGCCTGTAGCTTGAACAGCTCTAGTAACACTTCGGTTCTGTGCAGAGAAAAACAAATTTTGATCCATTATATGTTTTCTGGTTTATAGAATTTTAACAAAACAAACTCTTTACCACAGAGGAATTCTGTATGATTGTCCTCTTTCTCCTTTTGTTTAATCATCTATTTCCATTTAAGAAGTTGGATTTATTTTATAAGCTGGTATAGCAATATCCAGATGAATAGGGAAGCAAGCTGATTTGCTGTCTTTTATGGTTTCAGTATGTTTCATTAACTCCATAGCTTAAGGTCTTTGCTGGCTGCTAGTAGGGGCCAGGAAAGATCTCCTTCCCTTCTGTATTTGGTTTGGATTTACATTTCTCTGAAGCAGCAAAGATAAGATGAAGGGCATAGTTTGTTATGTTTTATTGTAAGATGCTGAAAACTCCTTTGTGACCACAGAGGATACGTGAAGTAAATGCGGTGGAACCTTCTGAATTCGTTGTCCAATGGGCAGGGTCTATGCAGGGGAACGGTCCCCATTTAGATCTAAAGAGTCACTGCCTGTTAAATGCAGCTTTGAGCTGACAAAAAAATGATTTCATTATCAAAATATGTAGAAGACTTTAATATGTTTTTAGTTGCACAAACGAAGTAATACATAAGTTCACTTCACAAATTAATTTCTGTGCATTTAGCTTAAAGCTGTAACACAGTTGTTTGCAAACTTCTGACTACATGTGTAGGCTACTGCTGAATGTGCTGTACTGTGTCCTCTGTTCTGATCGGTCTTTAACCTCTTGGACATGCAAAAAATGAAAGAAGGGGGGAAAATGAAGTGATTAAGAACTGGAGGTAGTCATTTTTCCATCTAGACAAACACAAAACACTGCCACCCTAGAACTATATAAATTGTTTAGCAACACTTGATCAAACATCTAATTTTCATAGTCTTTTTTATTTTTGAGGAAGTTATAGAAATGTGCGTGATGTGTACAAATGGTTAGATTTCATCAAACCTGAGGTAGCATTCTTTATGCTTGGCTTATTTTCAGTCTTGTACCCTCGTAAAGGAACGGAAAACTTAATAAAATACTTCATAGTAAGTACACCTATAGCTCTTGCAGTCATGGGAAATACCACTTACACTGCAGACTTGTTAGTGTTTCTCATGTGCATAAAATATTTCTCCTAATCTAGACAAAATTGAAATAGTCATTTTCTTACTAGTGCTTTGCGGAAAGGTAAAACAACATGAGCTTGATGTTTTGTTTTTAAATAGGTGAGGGATACAAAGTTCACTGCTAAATCTGTCAAATAGGCAGTTTTGGTGCTCAAGAGATCAAAGTAAAAACACAGTTCTACTCCCACACCAGCACCTATCTGCCAAGACACCCACATCTTTGCCAATAAAGTCCCTCAACCTTATAGTTGTACTGCTGCTACACATGGCTAGAGCAGCTGCCGTCTTGGCTGAGCTGGGTTGAATAGATCCGAGCTGAGCATCTTGGCACTTTTTTTATATACAGGGCTGTTTGGGAATCACAGAAATGGTATCCTTGCAACTGAAATCTTTGAAAATCCTATATAGTAGATGAGCTGTAGAGAAGCCTGATGCAGACTGACGGCATTGTTTTAAAAGACATTTTGCTTAGATTAAAAGGGGAAAAGAAAAAAATGTAACCAACAACCTGTCAGACGAAATAGAAGGACATCATGATGCTGTCTTCATGTTATAATATAGGACAGTTAGATTATTTCCCAAGGAAGTGGAAATTGGAGGTTCCGTCATACCTCCCAGGAGAATATACAGACTGCTAGCTAATTTTCAGGTTAATGGTGATATCTAAATTATTAATTTTTCTAGGTAAAATTTAGAAAGTTTGTGCAGAAATTATGTGAAAATTTTTGGATAAAGAAGCAAGGAAAACATTATCCCCCCCTTATATTTAAATAAAAAAAGTCAACAGAATTATGACTTAACTATATAATAAACACTCTTCAGAAAGAGTATGTAGAAGTGTTTTTTTCTGAAATGAATTGTTTAGGTTGAATTCTTAGCCTTTCTAGAGGAAAACACTTCTAAACAAAACTATTAAATAGATAAACTATGTTATTAAATATATAGTTATATATCTAAAAATGTTTTTCGAGGAAAATTGATTCGTATTTACACAGAGTAGTGCTCAGACTGCCGTGTCAGAAATTTGAAGTTGTGATCTAATATGCTGTCTGAAGCCAAGAGTAAGAGTCATTGATTTAAGTTTATACTTACATTGGTTTTTTTCAGAATACCTTCCAGAAGTTCACAGCTCATCTCATTGGAAAAGAGATAGCTAAGATGGGTTATATGGCTTGTGACTTAGAAGGGACTGGTAAGGGAATGCTAAGGTCACAAAATTGTATATAAATATCTACAAATGGGTGAGATGATGGTAACCTATAGTAACCAGTTCAGCCCTGTTAGCTTTTTAATGTATCTGCATCCTTGAGCTCTCCAACAACACTGCTAAAAAGGGCTATTGCTTTTTGAATGTCATTATTTTAAAGTCTTTCAGATGATGTTCTGCTATCGTTCTGAACCATATTCTAAATATTTATACAGTCTTTGCTGGAAACAGAGAAGAGAAAATGCATTTACATTGCCATTTTTCGTCTTTACTAGGAAACCCGGTTAGATGACCATCACCATGTTGCAGTGGCTCTTGGGAAACAGGAGGGATTTGGACAGAAGCATTCTGATGTAAGAAATGATGAAACATTTTCAGGTCTTGGTAACTAATCACTTGAACATAAACTTAGTCTGATGCTGTAGCTAAAAGTGTGTTATCTCAGATGTAGGGCCAAGGAGAAAGCTTATCTTAAGCACAGCATTAACGAGATTGTTACTGAACTGTTACCTCTAGTTCTGTTATGCCTATTTCAGGAAAGGTCTGGGAAGGAGAAATGGTTTCAGAGGACAGCAACGGATAATGTCAGATCTAGAATGTATGCGTTACAGCATTCAGCGTGTTCATTCAAAAGAAGATGAAGTGATTTTTGTCACAGCCTGCTAGTAGTCATGTGGGAAAGATGGTTTTCACAGAGGGAAATGGAGACAGTGAACCAGTCTGGACTGCGAAACTAGTATGGCACCTCACCGAGTTTATTTTAATGGGGGACTGTCAGTGCATGTATCCCAGAGCAGATCCATCTCTCAAACACCATTATGACAAGATAACCCTTGAGACAAGCAACAACAACCAACAGATGGGAAGAACAGCAGTGTTAGTCTTCATTCCGTGTGGTTTCTTTATTGAGAGAAGCAACAAAGCTACTTAAGCTTTTCAGGATTTTCTGTGTAATGTAACAAAGACCTGGGTCATGAAAAAAGCAATAAAAGTCAAATTTGAGGCAGACTGGCAAGTTGTAGCCAAAATAGGCAGACAGTCAGCAAAGGAAAGCGTGACAAATTACCAGGTTTGTCTGTGGTGTTTTAGTTGCTCAGAAGAAAACCAGTTAGTTGTTTTCTGTTATTTAGATACAAAGGTTCTGCCAGGAACTAGAAAAAAAATAATAAGTATATGAATGGATAAAAGGATGAAAGTGATCATGCACACATCTATCATGGTCATAAAGTCTGAGTCTGTGATCATGGATAACACAGAAAGGCAGACCTTTTAACTAGTATTGGTTAGTTTAAAAAAAGATGTATAAACTATCTTTGAGGATTTACTGTGGTAAATCAGTGCTCAAATATTCTTTAAGAAAATATGCATTCTGTTTGGCAGGACATACTTAAGTTTCCAGTGGGGCTGCATATCATTCTTCCTACAGGAATACTGATAAATGTCAGTCTGAGGTGAAAAGAAGGCCATTATGTCTGAAGACAATTACCTAAGTATTCTACAAAAATCCAGGATTTTTAATTACTGACCTTCACCATCGCTGTCACACGCCTTAAAATTATCATAGAAAGAACAGGCATGGTATCAAGAGTTACGAGATAAAAAGTCTTTGAATCAAGAAAGTCTCAAAGGCATACTTGTCCACTGACTAAATTTGTGATGACCTAAATTTCATTAGCTCAATTCACTGAAAAAAGGCCATTTTTTTAAATAGGACAAGTGAGCATTCTGTGACTCCGCAGTATGGAAATAAAGTGAAAATTTCTGTACTATTGCATTGTGCCTTTTCAGGACTCCTTCTAACAGGAATGCGGAGGAAACAAAAGTGGCCTTCTCTCTTTCTAACAGAAATGTAAAAGAGGATTCTATGTATTGCTAGATGTGTTGAGAGGAAAAGATGTTCTTCGTCTTAGTTTAAAAAAATTGAGTATGTAGACATTATGCTATTGCTTTGGGATGTCAGTGCTTGTCTCTGTTCCCTCTCTGCTATCACAGGAGTAATTTATTATGTCCTGTTTGCAGAACATGTACTTTCAGTGAGCTTTCTTCCCAACCTGATAGCAAGTACCTACAATTCAAAAGAAAGACCGATTGTTAGTTTAAAGTACTATAATTTAAATTCTTAGTGTCAAGAATCTTAACAAAATGTCCACTAGTGATGGCTATGTATTTGAAGAGACAGAATATTTATCTGCACTCTTACCTAGATCTAGAGAGTTATCTGAGACAGGTCTTAATGAAAGATGGCTGAGTTTATAATTCTTTATAATTCCTATGTGGGCTATAAAGTATCTTTTCACCTATCACTTGCTAGATTTCACAGGACTTGTGATGAATTCAGTCAGAACACACTTGTCTTCAGACAAGCATGTGCTGAAGTTCAAACTAGATCTGTTAAGCCTCTAAGTAGATTGTTAGTTCATATTTGGTATGCATCTGTGATGTCACTTGCATGGCTCTAGGCCCAGTTCCTGCAGCTTTACCTCATCTCCAAAATGCCAGATGAACAGGAATCTCTCAGCACCATGTTACTTGTTAGAGGATATAAAGTGATGGGCAGCTCAATTAACTTTTGCTTTCAGTCTGCGTTGGACAACTTTGAGTTGTGCTGTGCTGTTACAACAAACACAAACCATTTTGTTGTCTCTCCATTTATTCCTAACAGTAGCTTACTGCTCAAACACTGGAGCGGAGAATAGACATTTTTGCTCTTTTACCTATTTACTGACCTACCTTCATTGATGTGACAGGAAGGGATAACAAAATCAACAAAACGTGCCTTAGGCGAGGTCACCTCCAGCACTTGCATGTAAGCAAGCAAATGCCTACAAGGCACCATTATGGACAAATCCTCTCCAGGAACTCAACATGTTGGGGTGCCTCTCTAAAGTGCCTGTACACTGGTGCACACAGTATGGGGAATAAACATGATGAGTTAGAGATCTGTGTGCAATTGCAGGGCTCTGATCTTGTTGGGATCATGGAGACATGGTGGGATGGCTCCCATGGCTGGAGTGTTGCAATCAAGGGGTACAGGCTCTTTAGGAAGGACAGGCTGGGAAGATGAAGAGGGGGAGTTGCCCTTTATATGAGAGAGCAGCTGGAATGCACGGAGCTTTACCTGGGGATGAATGAGGAGCCAGCTAAGAGTTTATGAACTAGGATTAAAGAGAGGGCAAGTCAAGGTGACATTATAGTGGTTGTCTGCTATATGCCACCTATAAGACCAGAAAGTGGATCAGGCCCTCTACAGACAGATAGAAGCAGCCTCCCATTCACAGGCCCTCGTCCTCATGGGGGACTTGAACCACCCCAATATCTGCTGGAGAGACACAGCAGAACATAAGCAATCCAGGAGGCTCCTGGAGTCCATTGACAGCAACTTCCTCCTCCAAGGGATAGAGGAGCCAACAAGGGGAGGTGCTCTGCTGGACCTCATACTCACCAACAAGGAGTTGGTGATGTGAGGATCAAGGGCAGCCTTGGCTACAGTGGACATGAGATGGAGTTCAGGATCCTGGGGGCAGGGAGAAGGGCTCACAGCCCTGGATTGAGGAGAGCAGACTTTGGCCTCCTCAAAAATCTGCTTGGAAGTCCTGTGGGATAAGGCCTCAAAGGGAAGCAGAGCCTAAAAGAGCTGGTTAATATTCAAGGATCACCTCCTCCAAGATCAAGAGAGTTCCATCCCAACAAATATGAAGTCAGGCAAAAATGCCAGGAGGCTTTCATGGATGAACAAAGAGCTCCTAGCCAAACTCAAACACAAAAAAGAAGCATGGAGAGGGTGGAAGCAAGGATGGGTAACCTGGGAGGAATACAGAAACATTGTCTGAGCAGCCAGGGACGAAGTTAGGAAAGCTAAAGCCCAAATGGAATTTAATCTGGCCAGGCATGTCCAAGGCAACAAGAAGGGCTTCTATAACTGCATAGGAGACAAAGGGAAGACTAGGGAAAATGTGGGCCCTTTGCTTGATGAGACAGAGGCCCTGAGTACACAGGACATGGAAAAGGCTGAGGTACTGAATGCCTTCTTTGCCTCAGTCTTTAATAGCAGGACCACCCTTCAGGAATCCCAGGTCCCAGAGACCAGAGGGGAAGGAGCAAGGAAGATGTACCCTTGGTGGAAGAGGATCAGGTCAGGGAATACTTAAGCAAACTGGATGTACGTTAAGTCCATGAGCCCTCATGGAATGAAGCTGGCAGATGTCATTGCGAGGCCAGTCTCCGTAATCTTTGGTTGATCATGGCAACTGGGAGAAGTGCACAAAGACTGGAAGAAAGCAAATGTCACTCTATCTTCAAGGAGGACCCAGGGAATTACAGGCCCATCAGCCTTGCCTCGATCTCTGGAAAGGTGGCAGAGCAGCTAATTCTGGAAACCATTTCCAGGCACATCAAGGACAAAGTAATCGTCAGGACTAGTCAGCGTAGCTTCACCAAAAGAAAGTCATGCTTGACCAACTTCATAAACTTCTACAATGAAATGACTGGCCTGGTAGATGAGGGGAGAGCAGTGGGTATTGTCTACCTAGACTTCAGTACCTTCTACCTCTGACATTGTCTCTCATAAGATCCTCCTAGAGAAAATGTTGATGTATGTACTGGATAAACAGACAGTGAGGTGTACTGAAAACTGGCTGAATGGTTGGGCCCAGGGGGTGGCGATCAGTGGCACGAAGTCTGGTTGGGGGCCAGTTAGTAGCGATGTACTCCAGGGGTCAAAACTGGATCCAGTCCTGTTTAATATCTTCATTAATGATCTGGATGATGGTGCAGAGTGTACCCTCAGTAGGTTTGCTGGGGACACAAAACTGGGAGGAGTGGCTGATATGTCAGGGGGTCATGCTGCCATCCAGAGGGACCTCGACAGGCTGGAGAAATGGGCCCATAGGAACCTCATGCAATTCAACAAAGAGAAGTGCAAAGTCCTGCACCAGGGGAGGAACAACCCCAGGCACCAGGACATGCTGGGGGCCAGCCAGCTGGAAAGCAGCTTTACAGAAAAGGCACTGGGGATCCTGGTGGACACCAGACTGAACATGAACCAGCAATGGGCCCTTGCAGCAAAGAAGGCTAATGGCATCCTGGGCTGCATTCGACAAAGTATTGGCAGCAGGTTGAGGGAGGTGATCCTTCCCCTCTACTCAGCACTGGTGAGGCCACATCTGGGGTGCTGTGTCCAGTTCTGGACTTCTCAGTACAAGAGAGACATGGACATACTGGACAGAGCCCAGTGAAGGGCCAAAAAGATGATTAAGTGACTGGAACATCTCTCCTATGAGACAAGGCTGAGAGAGCTGGGACTGTTCAGCCTGGAGAAGAGAAGGCTCGGGGGGATCTTAGTAATGTATTTACCTGAAGGGAGTGTGCAAATTAGAGCCAGGTTCTTTTCATTGGTGCCCAGTGACAGGACCAGAGGCAGTGGGCACAAGCTGACACACAGGAGGGTCCCTCTGAATGTCAGGAAACACGCTTCCCCCCCGCCCCCCACCACTGTGAGGGTGACCGAGATTGCCCAGGGAGGTTGTGGAATCTCCATCCATGGCGATATTCAAAAGCTGTCTGGACATGGTCCTGGGCAACTGGCTCTAGGTGGCTTTGCTTGAGCAGGGGTATTGGACCAGATGACCTCCAGAGCTCCCTTCCAATCGCAGCCATTCTGTGATGACCAGATGTCAGTATTCGCTCCGCAAGAAGTTAACAGTACCATAGCCTGCATCAAAAATGTGTCAGTTTGTGTGATGTACAGAATAACCCCACCGTAGCGTAGCCCTGCTGAATTCTATCAAATATTAAACATTAAGAATATGTTGCTTGAGCAAATGCTGAATTTAGAAGGATCAGCTACATTCATGTTTGATTCATGCAGCTGTACTATTTGCCCTGCTGTTTGGAAAGAATTACGCCTGCAGATAGCATACAACAGGCTGCACAGTAACGTGCTCAAAAAAACAAACCTTTTTTTCTTTGAAATGTGATTTTTCTCGAAGTGATGGAACTAACACAGAGACCATGACACTCATTTCTAGTATCTCAGTCTGCGTTTAATCTGGATTTAACACAGGGAATTGTGGGTTCATTGTGACCACTTTTGTCCTTAAATAGCATGAGTTTGAGAGAAGCATAAACACCCTTGGTAACTGCTGGTATTAAAAAGAATATGAATAGGCACACCTCTAGTGGAATAAATCCTCATGCTGTCATCTCAAATAATCATGCTTGCTGGAGAATGAAGTACAGTTTGTTGGTGGGTTTTTTCTTCCTTTTTTCTGGACTTAAACACTCATTCTGTGGTATTTACAGCATTCTCTATCCCTTGTTCTTTTGGTTTTCTGAACTGAATTTCAAAGAAAAACTTGTTTTTCCTGTGTGGCCTGTTACATGCTTCTGTTAGTTCCTATATAGCCTAAATTAGGGACAGTGACATTGGTCTCAACTGGAATATTTTCCTTTTTCTTCAGTAAGCAATGTGTAGTTTAAACTGGACAGGGAATATTGCAGGAAGAAAATTGAGATTTATTGATTCATCTAATACTAATATGTCTTTTCCTCAGGTATGTTCCATGGAGCCTAACCAACCGCAGTTTACATTATTGACTTTTGAAGATTTAGTTGCATCTGGTATTCCAGTCACACCTGAGGATTCTGCATATTGGGATAATTTTTGTTGTAAGCAGGAGAGTCCAGTGAAACAGAACTCACATTCAAGATAAGAATGCATATAAGAAAAAGAAAATTGTCAAAGTTGTTATGCTGTTACTCTACATAATTCAGAGTGTGGGAATAAGTGTACATGTGTAAATGAAACAAGTTTTTCCTTATTTAAACTGATGGTCTGATTTTCACCTTTTTAAAATTGACATTCTTTATAAATATCTTAAGGAAGATGTGTGTTTCCTCTCTGAAGGAATTCTGAGTGAAAAATCTAAGCTGACCACGTGCTTTTTCGCTTCTCCATGCCTGTGGTTCTTACACTTCAATAATTACCTATGCTAGGAACAGGGAGCAGAGCTACAATAATGTTGTTGATTAGTCAACAGGTGTTTAATGTATAAAAATGTGTTTCTGTACTTCATTTATGCTGAAGCTTAAATTATGATACTGCCTTTTCTCTTACAAAAATAATAGTTTTATTCTCAGATGGATGAATAAAGCTAGAAGAATTGGTACAAATCCTTTTGCTTTTAGTATATAGTGTAAGTGTTTGTACAACACTGTATTTGTGTAATAGCAGGCTGAAGAAGTCTGAATCTTAGTAGTCTCAGAACTACATCTGTGCAAAACTAGTTTGAGGCAGGGAATTATCTTACAAGTATTTCATATCCTTTTCACTTACAATCTTTGTTAATTAAAGCTTCCTCTGTGTAACTTAGGATTTGATTTTTAACAGTTTTTTGGGGTTTTGGGGGGTTGGTTTTTTGTATTTTTTCTCTCAGCAATAGATATAAGCCAAACAGCAGTTCAATTTTCCTAGACTTGCATTTACATCTGTACTGTTGTAGACACTAAGTCATGTAGGGGGAAAAAAAGACAACAAAAAAAGCCTATTTACTTTTTTCTAAATAGTCTCGTAACATCTGAAGACAGAATATTTTATTGTCTTACAGTGAATTAAAATTTCTGGAGAAGATCTGTAGATCTTGAGTGCATCTTTAGAGTATTTTGTATTCTTTTTTAAAACAAATCCTATTTTGTGCCATTACCTCTCACTTTTCTTTCTAGAAGTCATAGAAACATCGCGGTCCGTCTAAATGTAAGGAAACATACTGAACAGAATGAGTCATACTGAGCAGAATGATTTTCACAACTAAAAAGAGTTAATTTCTGACCTACAGTTAAACATAGATCTTCAGTGACTTTGGGTTTGTGTACAACTTGGCTGCACCCTGTATTCTGACTAAAGGAGAATCTACTTGTAGTGTAACCATTGAAGCCATGCCTTATTACAAAGATAAAGAAAAAGTTTAGAGAGAGAAGTATGAGAGTTTTACAATATTATACATGCTTTTGGAGTTTTACTGTAGATAATTCTGAATTCAGATATGCTGTTAATCTTTCCTACTTCTACCAGTTCTGATTAATATTTTCGTTTCCATTTCAATGACTCTCTCATCTTGCATGCTAATCATAGTTTTTGGTGGTTTGCTGTTTTTCCTCCAAAACTGCAAATCAGTGAAGCAGTGACTCTTCTCTCCAGACTCTACAGGGGTTAAATTAGATGTTCAGTAACTTCAAATCTGAAGTTAACAGAAATATAGAATAATTTATATACAAATTGTAAGTCAAGTATTCCAGACTGTGTTTTTAAATTAAATACAACTTGCGATAAATAATTGGCACTCCATGGAGGCCAGAAAAGGCTATTCAGTGGATATGCAATGGTATCATTTACTGGGACATGATATTTTTAACTGGTTCAGTTGACTCTGTCTCACTCTGTTCTACCTGAAGTGTACTATAATCCGAGATGGGCAAGCATGTGAAGGTGCTTAAGAGCTTAAGTGCTTGAGATAACTAGAAATGTTGTCAAGCTGAAAGGACTTGTTCTGCCACAGGTTTTGAAAGTCTGCAGAATAAGGAGGCCTATTCAGAGTATGAGGGGCTGGAGAGTACTGAGCTCCATGGCTGGCTGGCTGTTAACTGGTATATGCCAATCCTCACCAGTCACTGAGGACCCCATCAATTGCAGCTGTACCAGCCAGTTTAAATTGCCAACTTTTTTGCTGGGACAATGAAATGAACTGCAAATATGGGGTGAGATGAATGGAGAATTTTCAGATGTAAATTTCTGGGGATAAAGGAATTAATTTCATATTAGAGATGATTTATTTTTGCGTGGTGACAGTGTCTCAAAACAGAATTTTTCTTTCATTGGAAAGAGTTTAAAAAGTATTAATGAAATTATTTATAATATTGTGCTTGCATGTAAGTAGAGGACAAACCAATTTTGTTAAATTAGAAAATTACACTTGGTTTGCTTGCCAGGAATATGATAATTTTCAGGACTATATCTAATTAGAAAAGTTAGAAAAATAAAGGGAGTTTGTTTCGGTTAGCTTTTCATGAAATAAAAGCGTAGTTTCTAACAGTCCAAGACAGAATCATCTAGAAGATTGCAGTTCCTCACATTATGATTTTTTTCCATGTTTTTGATTCACACTGAGCTATTTGAAAAATAAATTAATCTCTTTTTTTTAACCTTAGGTAGCAATAAGGATAGATGATGGTAATGCCTTGTGAAGAGCTACTTGAGTCAGGTTGTTTAGTTTAGTGTCAGTGCAAATGGACAGAATTTTTACACTTGCTTTTACCACTGTGGGAAAGAGCAGCTGTATAGTTATGGAATTATCAGCTAAAAGCATGCTGCTAAAAGCCCAGCAAGACACTGACTTTTTATGAATGTAAATGATCCTTCTTAAAGTTATCAGAATGTTTTTCTGGACATCTGTGTACTGTAGAGGCACATATTAAAATAAATATTGCTAGCGTGTACAGATAAATTAATGTAATCAGAGGTCTAAGAATTTTATTTTTTTTTTAATTTTACCATCACACTTTCCCTTATATAAAAAACTGAGCCCTGTATCCACAGATGGCCATAACACTGGCTTCCTTGCATTTCCTCAGAATACAGTCTTAATGTCCACAGAGTGTCTCTGCCATTTTTAGAAATACTGGTCCAGCACAGCTCCAGCTTCCCTCCCTAGTTCAGGTTGTTGGCCCAGTCCAGCGCAGATGAGCTGACCTTTGCTGGTCTCCCATCACTCTTCTATCTGCAAAAAATTTCCAAGTTATGTCTAGAAGCCCTCTGGCCTTCAGGTTCCTTCTCCAGAGCTCCATTCCTTTATCTGTTTTGTATTCTATATACGGCTCTACACATGACCATACCACGAACCTGGATCCTAAAGGGCAAGAAGCTGCAAAAACAGAAGCTCTGCTCCACGTGAGCCTTTCCCAGCAGGGGCTGTGGCTAGGTAGTTGTTTTCCCTATGGAACAGGATTGACCAGCCTCCCTGTTTCTGAAAGCACAGATTTAGATCTTGGATCAGATCCGCTGCCCTAGACTTCTGACCAACCCAATGTTTAAGTCTCCAACCTAAAAATAAAAAAAAGTTTTAAAAAGTTTTGGTCTTCAGTGAACAGATTGGCAAAAGTGAATAAATGTGTTTTAGTTTGGACATATTATCATGTTTGAACCTTTGTGTATCTTGCATAAAAATTCTTAGAGTGGATTAGGAACTTCAGGGGATAAAACTGTGTTCAAGACAATTTGCATCTGTGTGACAAGAGACTGGTGCCATTTGATGTGAAAATCTGTAATTTTGAAAAGAGGATCATATGAATTCGCTCTTAGCCTTTCACAACGTCTGTAAACCTATGCAAGATGTATGTTGTTGTTATATTATGGGATCAAATGCACTGATGTTAATCAAAGGTACGTGCTTCATGTTCCTCCGGGATATGGCTATTTTGGATTGCTCTACACTGTATAGAAAATGTAGGCAGGAAAATAAGTTCTGAATTGTTCTTGAGAGACAACATTTTAAAAGTTTTTTTCAAAAAGTCACTTTTTGCAATACATTATTTTCTTGTGCTGTACGTACAGTTTTTTATGGCCAGATACTATTTATGACTCCTATTTCTGCTAAGATTGAGTTTAATTTCATTATTGAAATAAAAAGTGGGTTTTTTTGTGTTTGTGTTCTGATTTTGTGTTTCCTATTTACAGTTCTACCTTTCTGAGTTACTTTTTTTTATCTCAGTATTACTTAGATCCAGACACAGGTGGGATTACTGAAACGCCTAACACTCCTTTGTTATTTCTAAAACAATTTATGGGAACACAGAACTGTATGCTCCTAGTGACATCCTTTAGATGAATCATGAAACAAAGGCCTGGACCAGCTGCCCACTCTGTGGCAGTCTTGTAAGACTAGGTGTGTTCAAGTCTTTCTTCCAGGACCACTCCCTGGTTTCTTCCTGCAAGTTTAATTTAATAATGTGCAACCTAGTTTCTTGACATAACTATGACATAATGTTGGTGTGTTGTACGTTAAAGCGTCTCATCATTTGGTCTAAATTGCAATAGTGTGGGGTTTAATGCTTGTACGAAGATACGTATTTTCAAATACAAGGCTACAGTGTTGCACAGTGGTACTTACACATGTAAGAAAATTTCTGAAGATTGTTTTTTTTACTATGTTGTAGAACACAAAGGTTCTTCATGTTGTAGTAGGAGCTTATTCACAGAGAAAAAGCACTTTTGTTTGCACAAGGGTTTGCTTTAAAACCTTTGAAAAATTGTTTTGGATTTATAAGTGATGTAAACAGTAAGAAAATGGGTATTTCAGTTGAAAGGCATTTTCGATCCTCCAACATCTAGAGGTACCTAGACACCTTTATTTCTACTTTACAAAGCAGTAAAGAAGCACTGTCATGTAGCAAGGTATTAGAGAAGCTGCCCAGTAGCTTCCTTATAAAAAAGTATTCTTCATACTGCAAGTAGAAAAGTATCTGCAATGTGTATGATCTGTTAGTAAATAGTTTTCATCACCACTAACAACTGAACAATTTACATTTTAATACATTTTAAAGCTGTCTTTTTATGTGTGTAGTGGCTATCAGCCCAATAAGAGAAAGAATGGTTTGGGGCATGGTGGATCTAGATGTTGTCACATCCAGCTTGCTCTACATGTAAGTCATGAAGCCTAGTTCTTCAAACTGAACTAGGTGGGAGCTTTTAATGATTAAAGGTTTTATCCAGTGGCTATAGCAAAACACATGAGCAGTCATGGCAACAGGGTACAAAACCCCAAGCTTTTTGTTCTGTTGCAAAGGTCTTACTCAAGTGCTAATTTCAGACTTTGATTTCTTGTTTCTTGGCTGCTAGGAATCTTACAGGGTAGTAACCCTGCCTGTGTCAGCCTATAACCTGCTGATCAAATTTCTTTCTGAAAAGGGGATGTTTTCCTTATGCTGAGGATTCTGAAGGAGTTTCTACCTTTTAGTCAAAGCTGTAATCCTCTGAATCAAGAACTTCAAGTCATTGGTTTGCAGATGTGTTCAAGGCAAGTGTACTATCTACCAATCTGCCACAAAACAAAAGGTCCTACTGAAGGCAAGGATTTTTTTTTTTTTTGAAGTTCCAAGCTTAGAAATGCTGTGTGTTAAGTGTACTTAAACGGTTTGCTAGACTGTTTGTCAGATATGTCCTAGGGATTTAGGGGTGCCTATTGAACATCCTGAGCAGGCCTAGGGGAGGAAGCTAACACCAAGGTTCCCAGCATAAGCAAGATGCAGTGCCAGACCTACATGCAATACCAGAGCCTGGAAGGACTGATGGAGCTTTGGTAAATGGTAATGTTCTTATGAATGGCAAAGGGTTGGGTGGGTTTTTTTTCAGGTTCATATTTCTAGGTTTTGATTAGCTATGTTGTAGATGTATAAATGTCCCATTTTGGATTTGGTTATTACCCCATTAAGTTATTCAGGCAGTTAAGTCTTGTCAGATATTCCACAAGGGCACTGAGGTTTTGATTGCGTTAAGATTTGAGGACTTACCTCAGTGCGATTGGTGTTGGCAAACTTACCTTTTTTGTAAAGCACCAGAATAAGCTGATGCATCAGTTCCATCCTGTTTCTGCGTGTGTCAGTATGGCTTGTGCTGTGCCCTCGGTACCACAGGACCTCCAACACATCTGCCTGAGGTACCTTTTGCTGCAATACCTTTTAATGGGCTAGTCCCAGCACCCTGATTTTTTGTTGTTGTCCCTGAGCTGACAAGAAAACGTTTTAGTATCATTACCAAAAGTGGTACAATGTTTCCCTAGTAAAATAATGGAAAAGATGAGTAAAGGAATTATATGTTAAGGCCTTAATGTTGTACTGCAAATAATAAGGGGAAATAAATGTAAAAAGCAAGTTGAAAGTGTATTAATGCTAACTTTCAACTCACAAAGAGAAGTTCTTAGTTCTGCTTTGCTCTAAGGTCTCAAAGCAACTGAAATAATTTCAATCCTTTTATTTGGGTTTCTTTTTTTCCCTTCAAGGCTAAATAGTAGTATCCATATTACACACTTTCAAAGTTCCTGTTAAGATTTTCCAACTATCTAGTGAGTTCCTCTCATCACAGTAGTTTAATGTTTCCAGCCTTGTTCAGTGTTTGAAAAAATTGCTTTCCTTTAATCTTGAAATAGGCTGAATTTCACTTGAGTAGCCAGTCACATCCATTTTATCCATGGGAATCTGACCAGAGGCAGAAAGCAGGAGCTTGGACTGCCCCTGAACTCACATACAGGTTAGCCGCCCGCCCATTCTGCTCGACCGTGCCCTGTGGGTCCGGGATCCTCTGTGCCTGCGGAAACACTTAGCCACCCAGGCAGGGCGTGTTTGTAGCCCTTTCCATTGATACAGCAGTGCTAAGGGATGGCAAAGGCTGGAGTCAGATGGTGCAACTCCGATGTTCTCATAAAAATGCGTCAGTAGAAGCAAGAGCTTGACAGAGTGCAGCGCTGCTGCTGTTTGAACAGCACTACTTGACGTCACTGAATATTAAACTCTCAATTGCGTGACTGATAATTAGTTTTGATTTTTTTTTTCCCAGTGTTGAAGCTAATGCTTCTGCCCCATGAATTTACTAATGGCTGTTCTCATCGCTGTTTGCAATTTTTGCCATAGTATCAATGTGCTGCTGTTTTTGGCTTTAAGGCATCATAGATGGCAATCCTAATAACCAGTGCAGAAGGGACTGCGGTGTTGAGGAAGTGCAAAAAGACTGACAAAGATATAAATGATCTTTATAAATAAGATTACAGATTTTGTTTATCATTGCATGGCACATATTGTGTGCTGTATGTGTAATGTATTAACAATGTCATATCTGTTATATAAGAATTTTATACATTTATTACATATATATATTTATACATGTAGACTTACATATATATATACACACACACACTGTATAGAGTATCTTATCTTTCAGTTAAGGATAGACCTGTGTTTTCCTCTGCAGTTTGTACAGGTGTAAGTACCTATATGTAATTAAAAAAATGCATTTGTTATTTTTCATTGTAGAGTGGTGTTTGATATATTTAAATGACTATCTATTAAAATTACTTTGAGTTTGCATTTGAAACAGCACACAGGAAAAAATCTGAAAATACTACCTTGGAAATATTTTCCCCTTTAAACTGAATATCCTGTATTTTCTCAGCTTCAGCAGCATGGTTTTCTGTAATTTATCACTGCTGCCATCAGGTGAGTGGATTCTCAGCCCATGTATCAGCTGATTGTATGATGTGCTCCTCATCCTCACTGAGAGCTTTGGTGAAAGGTACAGTGAACTGCTTATTCAATGAGGTCACTGGTCTCTTTGTAAAAGGAATGGAATTTTCCTGCATGTATTAAGTTCAAACACTGTCTACTGAATAGAGTAACATTCCCAGCGAGCAGTGTTTACTACCTACATAAAAGCATTTTGTTAATCTTGTGACAGTTATGTGATCTACAATTAATTAGCTACCTGTACAATATTAGGAAAATGTATTAGATTAATTTTGTATAGTAAAATTGTGTGTGGGTAAGGGTTGTACTTCAGTTGTGTACTTGCTTATACCATAATTATAATTCTCATGCGAATGAAAACAGCGTATTACAAGGAGACTGATCTTTCTGATATCATTGTTTCTGCCTAATTGCTTGTTAGGATCTTTAAATGGTTGGCCTTGTTGATTTAGAATGTTTTCCCTAAAGTGCAGTAGGATATTTATTTGCATTTAAACTGGGGCAGTCAGGCAGCTCCTGCTTGCAGAAATCATTGTTATCTCTCAGTCACCTTTCAGGATAAAAAGAGACAATAGCAAACTGCTCATTGCAGTGACAGCACATTCGCTTCAGTTGGCTTGGGTAAAGTCAGATACGCTGGCCATAGAGCTATGTAACGTTGGTCATGTAAATACTTTTAAGTAATCAGAAAATAAGTTTATCTTCTGAAATGAGTCTTCAGTTAAAAGAGGGAAGAAAGTAATGTCAGATGAAGGCAATAATTTGTCCCAGAGTGAAGGGCTGCTGAAATTGTGAAGAAACCTTGTATGTGCCAGGAATTTTAAAATATATCTGATTTATTTATAAAAGTCAATTTGGGGACTTCTGAAACAATGTGATAGAATGATTATGTTTTTTGATTTGTTTTTCTGGTGTGACAGCAGTTTGAGTGCAGCATTGATTGAGTTGTTGAGTTTGTATAAACAGCTTTTAAAAGGGAAATAAAAATGCAGTTGCATTAGAATTTAAATGCCTTAATGCAAATATATCTGTTTCAGCCACACAATGTGTTTTAACTCATTTGTTCTCAGACTACAGCCAGTTCATCACTGATAGATGTATCAGGGATTTGCTACGGATATGTAGCATACACACACACACATATACATATATATACACATTTTATATATATGATATACACATAATCAGCTTTAAAAGATCTAGAAACTAACCCCATCTTTATTAACTCAATAACCGGGAAGTGCAAGAAAAGAGCTTCAAGAGCAAGTAATAAAAATAGTACAAATACATTTGGCCGATGCAAGAGACAATTTAAGGCTTGGCAGTGGGGGAAATAAAAACTATACCTTGAACAAATAGGCAAAGGAGCCGATTAAGACTTATTTTTATCTGTTGGAAGGTTTTATTAAAAATACATGAAT